GTCGGGGATCTGTTTGTGTGTTTCCACAGGGAGAACAGCAGCCGATTTGGATTCCAGAGAGACTAACTAAAGCGATTTCTACAGACCAAAAAGAAGATAACTTGGCTCAAATCCATAACAGCTGATATCCTTACATCTGCAACAGTGGTTCTCCCACACCTGGAGGCTATGAATAATGAACACCATTAAGGCCTATTTCAAATACAATAAAAACCTTGGGGCTTGCTTGTGGGAATACCTTCAGACCCATATGCAAGTTACAGAAAAAAGGATGGGATATCCAAAGAAGACTCAAACCCAGGTGGTAACCAGGATGCTTTTTTCAATATCTATTTTATTATTGCCTTTTCCCACATCATGAAGTTCTATTTTATTTTTTGAGCTCATACAGACCTAGGTTAATGTTTTTCTGATCAGTTCTATTTTTTGACTGTGGAGTTTTTAAACATTGCAATGGAGATTTCACCTGCGAAAAGCCACAATGCCTTTACTATTATGCTATGTGTTGTATGTATTGTATTATGTGTGCACACTTGTGTTTTGTGTTGTATGTCTAAATGTGCGTATGTCCATATATCATATATGAGGAGAGCTTATAAAAAATAGATCCAAATTTTTTTTATTATTCACGTGATTTATATGGTTTAATTTAAATTAGGTAAACAGCTGTTGAGGATTGTTTTTAAAGGTGGTTAACAGATCTGTTTGTTTGCTTTCACCTTTCATTATATTTAATAATTCTGTTCAGGATAATGTAAATTTTCAGAAAATTGTTTTCTTAGTGCCTGCTGGAATGTTACATAATTTTTTTTAAGCCATCATTGCCAGAATTCCTATCTTCATCCCAGTGCCGGTGAAGACAAAGATAAAACCAAACTACAGCTTCTACGATAGCTATTACAACAAACTGTATAAACTTATGCATCAATGAATAATAACTCAACAAGTAATGCTCAATCAAGGAGTCGATTTACTTTGGGAGGAAATGGACATATTAATGGATTCCTCTGCTTTGAACTGCTTGAAGAACTTGCCTGGACTATGTATCACTTGTATGCATTGTGAACTATCTGTTGGTGCAGCGAATTGTGGTAGTGCTGGGGTATCTTTGCTGATGGTATCATCGGTGGTACAATTTTTCCAAAAGGAACCGTCATTTGGCTTGGTGTCATGGCATTTTGCATCCTCCTCCCTTCTGCTTGTGATGGTCTAAAATTTGGGGGCCAACTGAGGTGAGGCTAAGAACCTCACCCCCTCACTGGTACCAAGGCCAAATTTGGGGGCCAACAGAGGTGAGGCAAAGAATTTCACCCCCCCCACTGGCACCAAGGCCAAATTTGGGGGCCAACAGAGGTGAGGCAAAGAATTTCACCCCCCCACTGGCACCAAGGCCAAATTTGGGGGCCAACAGAGGTGAGGCAAAGAACCTCCCCCCCACTGGCACCAAGACCAAATTTGGGGGCCAAGAGAGGTGAGGCAAAGAACCTCACCCCCCACTGGCACCAAGGCCAAATTTGGGGGCCAACAGAGGTGAGGCAAAGAACCTCCCCCCCACCACTGGTGCAAAGGCCTATCCACTAGTATGGCTGTATGCTGGACAGGTAGTCAGTGACAAGTATGATCCAATTGCAATGGTACCAACCTAGACAGGAGGCTGACGCCTTGAGGTCAGCTCATTCGATGACGGGTAAGGACCATATGTAGTATTGGACAACCTAAGACAGGCACGGTCCCTAAGCCACATGCTTGGTGTTTAATTAAACAGAAGGGGGGAGATGTTGAGAGCCACAGCCTAGTTGGAATGGCCCCTGGCATTTTGCCAGAAGTAATGGTTGAGAGGCGAGCCATTAAGATGATGCTGGATTGATTCAATTGTATATTAGACCTTTACTGTCTGGTATAGGGCGGCTCTTGCTGCCTCGGGCGCCCACTACTTTGGAGTTCCCGTTGAGTTCTCACGGGATTCGGAGAGTGGGTGCGTGCGCAGCCCAGTGGGGGGAATTCCGGTTGGTGTGTGGTGTCTTCCTGAAGGAGCTGTGTGGGTGGCGTTCGGGAGTTCCCGGGGAGCGTGTGTGGAGTGTGCTGGTGGAGTTCGGAAATAAAGTTTGTTCCTGCTTGAGTGGCTCGTGATTTGTGCCCAGCCAGACTGCGGCAGAAATCCCCACTGCTAAGGGGAGGGTATTATGTAGTCAGGATCTGGGGAGATGTACAAGTCAGCTTCTATCACTATGATGAAAATCTGATGCAATTCAATTATCAGAAGAAAAATTTATTTAGCTTATGGTTCTGGGGTCTATTGCTTTGGGCCTCTGGAAAGGACATTAGATGGCAATGGCAAGAAGGACGTGGTAGAGCAAGCTGCTAACAGCATGACCCAGGAAACAGAAAAACTGGGAGACTGGGGTTCTACAGTCCCCATCCAGAGTACCTGAGGACCTCCCTAGTCCCCAGCTCTCATGGTTTCACCACTTGCCAATAGTGTGTTCTTGGGGACCAAGTCTTTAACACATGGACTTTTGGAAGACACTTGTCCAAACCACAGCAGGTGATTAGGTCTTGGGGATGGGGACCTCATGAATGGGATTACTGCCCTTATGAAAGTACTGGCAAAATCTCTCACCTCTTCTAGTAGGTGAAGTTAGATTGGGAAGGCCATTCTCTGTATGGAAGTGGGCCCTCATCGGATGGTGGATCTGCTGATGCCTGGACTTCCCTACCTCCAGACCTGAGAGAAGTAAAGTCCTGTGTTTAGGACCCACTCATTTCATCTTGCTACAGCGACCCGAACAGACCAAGACGGGGAAGTGGCTTTGGAACTGGACAGTGAGTAGAGACTGAAAGAGTTTGGTCCATTCATGGAAGTGTAGTGTACAAGCTACACTTCCATGAATGGACCATCAAGGGTGATTCCTGTGAGGGTTCAGAAAGGAAGAGGAGAGGTTTAGAGTAAGTTTCAATTTTTTGAGAGAACACTTAGGTACTCATAAAAAATATATTGGAGAGTCTTCAACAGAAAAGAGGAACGTGTTATTGGACAGTGGGAGAGAGGCCATCCTTACTATACAAGTGGCAAAGAACTCAACTGAATCATGTTTGTGTTCTAGTGCTTTGTGGAAGATAGAATTTGTGAGCAATGAAATTGGGTATTTGGCTAAGGAAAATTTTAAGCAAAGTGTCGGAGCTATGGTTTGACTTCACTTCCTGCAGTAAAATATGAGAAGAGAGAAATGACTTTCAAGATGGAGTTAATAAAAAGGGAATGAATGTTAAATTCAGAAAATTCTCAGTCTACCTGTACTGAAATAAATAAGATGGTCTGTTCAGGGGAGAACAAGGGTAAAGCTGAGCAATCATTTGATAAAGAGGTTACTCTGAGTTGCCCATCTCTGTGGAGGCCAGGTGCTCTTCATTAAGACAGGCTGATTAGTTGGCCATCTAAACAGAGCCCAGGACTTACTGCACGAGAAAAGGGAAGAGTATCCCCAAAGACATTTCAGAAATCAGGGCTTCCTGTGCCTTCCAAACCTAGATGCTACAAAACTGGAGACATTAATGCCCAGAGATGCCTCATATTGAAGGCTGTGCTCCTCATAAGCCACAGCTGTGCTCCTGGGCTGCCCCATGTGCAGCTCCATTAGGCTACAGCATGGTGTGTGCTGCCCCAGCGGAAAGTACTGACAAAAATCTATTAGGGGCGAGGCTTTCCAAAGCTGGGCAGCCGGCAAACCTTCAGAGGCAGGGCTGCTGATATTAAGGGTCCAAAAGACAGGACCCTGGGGGGAAGGTGGCTCAGTAGTGAGCACTTGTCTGGCCTGCGTGAGGCCCTGGGTTCCATCCCCGGTACTGCAAAAAAACCAAAAACAATCAAACAACCCTCCATGTCAGTGGGCTTGAGGGGCAAGGTATCAAATCAGAGGAAATAATTCTTGGGATTTAAGATTTTGTACTTGCTTGAGAATGATTACACTTTTCCTTTTTTTCCAGAATGGGAATGTCTATCCCATGCCTGCCCACCATTATATTTTGGATGTGCGTAACATATATGATTTCACAAGTTCACAACTGGAAAGCAGTTTACCTCAGAATTAATTGTAACTTCTCACACCCAGATCTGATTTACATAAGAATTACCTAATACTTTGCGTTTAGTTTTTAAAATTGATGCTGAAACAAGCTAAAACTTTGGGGTGAGGCTATTGGAATGGAATCGATGTTGTTTTATGAAAGGAGGACATGTATTTGGGATGCCAGGACCTGCACTATGGTTGAATGTTTACATCCCCTCCAAATTCATATGTTGAAATTCTCCCTCCCAAGGAGGTATTATTAGGAGGTTGATTCTCAGGGAGGTGATCAGGTCCTGGAGGCAGAGCACTAATGAATGAGATTGGTTCCCTTAAAAAAGAGTTACAAGGGGGCTGGGGATGTGGCTTAAGCGGTAGTGCGCTCGCCTGGCATGCGCAGGGCGCTGGGTTCGATCCTCAGCACCACATAAAATAAATTAAAGATGTTGTGTCTGCCGAGAACTAAAAAAAATAAAATAAAAATATTAAAAAAAAGAGTTACGAGGGACTCTGTGTTCCTTCTTCCGAGTGAGGCTAGTGAGGTGGCTGTCTAGGAGGAAGCGGGACCTCACCTGATCTGAATGTTCCAGTGCCTTGATCTCACACTTCCCACCCTCCACGTTTGTGAGAAATAACTCTGTTGTTTATAAGCTGCATCATTCATGGTATGTTGTCAAAGCAGCCCAAATGGACTGAGACAACAGTCAGAAGAAGCGTACTAGGCATCGAAGACACATCTGCACTCCCAAGTTCATTGCAGCATTATTTACTGTAAACAAGACATTTAGATCGCCCAAGTGCATGCACTCAGATGAATGGAAAGGGAGATGTGGCATGCATATGTGTCTGTGCACGCTGTACCATACAATATTATCTAGGATTTTAAAAGGATATTTTTTAACTCAGTGTTCCTAAAGGAAGAGAACCAACAGGAGGTATGATCATAAAAAGCGGATTTATTAGATTGGCTTACACAACTAGAAGCTGGATAGTTCACAATGGCCATCTGCAGGCTCAAGAGCTAGAGGAACCAGTAGCTGCGCAATCTAAAGCCTCACAACAAAGGTTTCAACAGTGCTACCCCAGTCCAAGACCGAAGGCTTCTGGAGAATCAGTGGCAGAGTCCACTTTGGAAGAGTGAAGGAGCAAGAGTCTGATATCCTCAGATGATCACAGTAGCAATCAAGAACCTAGAAGAACATAAGAAGAACAGAGCTTGCATCTGCTGCTGCTTCCATATTCTTTCAACCTTTATTCCATCCAAGTTTCCAGCCTATTGGATGATGCTGCCCATCTGAAGGAGGGTCTCCTCTTTAGTTTGCTATGCCACATGCCAATCATTCTTAGACACACCCTCATTTGACACACACAGAAGCCTCTTAATCTTCCACATCTCTTAATCCAATCAAGTTGACAATTCATATCAACTGTTGCAGATATCCTGTCATTTGCAACAATATGGATAAACTAGAGGACATTATGCCAAGTGAATTGAGTTAAACACAAACACTGCATGGTCTCACATATACATGGAATCTGAAAAGTCAAAATCATAGAGGCCAAGAGTACAATGTTAGTTTCCAGGGACTAGAGATTTGTGGAAATGGGGAGATGTTCATCAAAGAGCACACATGTTCAATTATGCAGGAGGAATCAGTTCAGGAGATCTAAAGTACAACACAGTTTCTATAGTTATTATGCCATCTTGTTTTTTTTTGTTTTGTTTTTTTGTTTTTTGTTTTTTTAATTTGCTAAGAAAATAGACTTTAAATTGTTTTCACTGCACTAAAAAGAAGACCTACATGAGGTGACAGGTGTATTAACTACCTTGAATAAATAATTTCACAAGGTATACATATGTCAAAACATCACACTGTACACAGTAAATATATGCAATTTTTATTTGTCAACTATATCTCCATAAATCAGGAGATGGGAAATATTGTCGTAGTCATCTTTGGAAACATACAGTAATTCACTACAGTAACAAATGGTACTAAATTAAAAGGAAAGAATGAAAATTACATTACTTCCAAAATGTATGCCAGACTCTTGAAATTGTCTTCAAAATCACACTTAACACATCTTTGAATATATTCTTCTCAGCTTCTGCCCTTATATTTCTAATTTTTCTTCATATCTCATCATTGTTAATTTTATTTGTTCCTCCTTTTCTTCCTCTAGCTTAGTAGCATATTCCTGTTCTATTAGTCGGATTTCATTATCTCGTTCTTCAGCATAAATTTTCTTCAGAATCTCTCCACGCTTTTGCAGCTTTTCCTCTATGTTCTCATATATGTGGTGAGAAAAGTAAGACCTTCCATTGTTCTCCACCATCTTATCTATCAGCTCCACCAGCATCTGCACTTGAACTTCCTTCTCGACCTTGTCTGCTTTGTTGCTAATGGCAAAATAGCGGTTCCCGCACTCCTTGATGATGCTTCTTAGGTTCACATCCGCACTTTCCAGGAAGCTATCAAGGCTACAGCCCTCCAACTCTTCCTTGCGAGTGAACAAGACTATCATGTTCTTTGTGACTTCCGGCCCAAAGACTGTCTTGATCAATGCAAGAGTGTTCTGCTCTTCCTTTGTGTAGCGGCCCAGCTGCATGACCATGATGATGGCGTGAGGTCCTGGGCAGGAGTAAAGGACACACTGACTGATCTCTTCACACGTGGTCTTCAGACTCTGCTTGGTGTCAAAGAGCCCTGGAGTATCAACAACAAGAAGCTGTCCTCCCTTCCATGCTCGGGTTTCTGTTTGACAGGTCTTGGTAACAGCTTGGGCAGAAATCTGAGATTTAAACTTATCTTCCCCAAGGATGGTGTTTGCTGAGGCACTTTTCCCACTTCCAGTTCTCCCGACCAGAACAATTCTCAGAGTGTCATTTTGGTGGTCAGCCATCTTCCTGGAGAGAGGCCCTGGAGCTTGGGCACACACAGACCTGAAAGAGTGAAAGGAGAGAAAAACGCCAGTTTAGCTCTATGGGGATGATTCCCCATCCCCTTTTCTTCTCTTCTTCCCCCACTGAAATTGGGAAATATTCTATCATCCTTATTTATTCCAGTAGATAAAAAGATGAAATGGTCCATTTACTGTGGAAGAAATAAAAGAAAAATAAAGAGTCCCCCACAAGAGAGTACCGGGTCCGGATGATTTCATGGGGAGGCCTGTGAAACGGACAAATCTGATCATCTCAATGCTACTTAAACTGCTCCTGATTATATAAAAAGAAGGGTGCCCCCCCACCAGCCCACATGCCAACATAGGGAGTACTGCTCATGTGCCCCTGCCCTGATGCTGTCCTGCATACAGGTATGTGCACCTGCATCCCTATCCTGCCACTTGCCTCAGTGCCAAAGCCAAGACTGAGGCCAAGCTCCTGGGCTCCAATTTCTACTGCCACTGCCACCAGTTACAGACAAAGAAGCTATGGGGAAGCTATGCTGTGCTGTCCAACTAGAACCAAAGCCAAAGTAGTTATCACACTGACAGCTAAAATACATCTTCAGGTCGATGCTTGTTACTACGAAAGCCATCCTTTAAAAATAATAGAAACAACTGATATACCAGATATGCAAATATGATCCTACAGACAGAAGAAATGGAGAAAAGCAAAGTAACATGATTCCTTCCCAGGAATACAATGACTCTTCAGCCAGAGACCCCAAAGAATGATATTGATGAAATGCCTGATAAAGAATTTGAAAGAGCTGGGTTCGCTTGCGCACGTCAGTAATCCCAGCTGCTCGGGAGACTGAGACTAGAGAATTGCAAGTTCAAAGCCAGCCTCAGCAGTGGTGAGGTGCTAAGCAACTCAGTGAGATCCAGTCTCTAAATAAAATACAAAATAGGGCTAGGGATGTGGCTCAGTGGTCCAGCACTCCTGAGTTCAATCCCTGGTACCAAAAAAAAAAAAAAAGAATATGAAAAGAATGATTATAATGAAATTCAATGAGATACAGGAGAATACATACAGTCAGTTCAGTAAATTTAAGGAATTTAGCAAAGAGATGGGAATCTTGAAAAAGAACCAAGCAGAAATATTGGAAATGAAGAGCTCAGCAAGTTGCAAAATACAGCTGAAAGCCTCAGCAACACACTACATCAATCAGGAGAATTTATGTAATCCCAACTACTCAGGAGTCTGAGGCAGGAGGATCACAAGTTCAAGACCAGCTCTGGCAATTTAATGAGACATGTCTCAAAAGAAATCATAAATAAAAAATGTCTAAACTTGAAATCAGGTATTTTGAAATAGCCCAACCAGACAAAAAAGAAAGAAAAATCATAAATAATGAATACATCCTCCAAACCTTGGGACACCATTAAGCAAATAGTCACATGTTGAGAGTACCTAAATGGGAAGAAAAGGAGAAAAGCACAGAAAATCTATTCAATGAAATAAAAGTTGTAACTTTCCCTCATCTTGTGAAAGATATGGACATCCATGTACCAAAGACCCACAGGACTCCAAATAGACATGACCAGAAAAGATTCTCAAAATGGCACATAGTCATAGTCAACCTGTCAAAAGTACAAGACAAAGAAAGAATTCTAAAAGCTGCAAGAGGAAACAGCAAGTTCACCTTACAGGCCCAGAGGGAAATAAAATGACATATTCCAACTTCTGAAAGGAAATCACTGTCAACCAAAAGCACTATACCCAGAAAATCTAGGTTTGGGAAATGAAGGAGAAACAAAGACTTTTCAAGACAAGCAAAACTGAAGGAATTCATCACCACGAGACCAGTTTTATAAAAGAAGCTGAAGGGAATCCTGTGTCTAGAAGCAAAAGAAAAGGAACTAACAGCATTAGTTAGTTCCTACAGAAGTATTAAAACCACTGAAAGAGCAGATGTCAGAGGGGAAGAGAAAAGAACCAGAAGTTATCAATACAATAGACCACCAAGCCACCAAGTTGAGTAAGGGGCAAGAACAGAACAAAGTGTATTCAAAACCATTAAGCCCTTACCTGTCAGTAATGACCTTGAGTGTAAACAGAGTAAACTCCTCAAGTAAAAGACACTAGCTTCATAAAGGGGTACAAAATCACCATCCAGATATGTGCTGCCTGTAAGAAACTCTTTTCACCAGTAAAGACACACAGACTAAACGGGATAGATAGAAAAATATATTCCCATGCAAACAAGAACCAAAAATGAATAGTAGAAGCTAATTTTATATCAGGCAAAATAAAGAAGACAACGATAAAGAGGCAACAGAGGTGATTCACCATGATCAAGTGGAATTTATCCCAGGATTCAAGAATTACTCAACATACAGAAATCAATAAATGTAATACAGCACATCAATAAATAAAAAACAATATGTAAGGAACTAAAATAACAAAGGAACAATCTGATTTTAAATGAGCAAATAATCTGACTAGACTTATATAAAAAAAAGAAATACAAATGACAAACAAATATATGAAAAAATGCTCAATATCCTTATTCACCAGGGAAATGCAAACAAAAACCACAATGCAAAATCATTTCCCTCCAGTTAGAGTGACTACTATCAATTAGACAAAAAGAACAAGTGTTGGTAAGGATGTGGAGAAAAAGGAACTCTCACACGCTGTTGGTGGAAATGTAAATTAATACAGTCATTATGGAGAAGAGTAGGAGGGTCCTCATAAAACTAGAATAGTCCACCATATGATCCAGATGTTGTACTTCTGGGTATGTATCTAAATAACATAAAATCAATATACAAAAGAAATACCAGCACTACCATGTTTCTTGCATCACAGGTCACAATAGCCAGGATTAAAAACCTAACCTAGCCAGGTGTGGTGGTGCACACCTGTAATCCCAGCAGCTCGGGAGACTGAAGCAAGAGGATCACAAGTTCAAAGTCAGCCTCAGCAATTTAGTGAGGCCCTAAGCAACTTAGCAAGACCATGTCTAAAAATAAAAAAATAAAAAAGGGCTGGGAATGTGACTCAGTGTTTAAGCAATGCTGGGTTCAACCACTAATATGAGGAGAGGAAGGAAGGAAGGAACGAACTAAGAGGGGTGGGGGAGGGAGAGGGAGGAAGGGAGGGGGAAAGAAAGAAAAAAAAGGGAGAAAGACAATAAGGAAAACACCGAGGTCCCTATGAATGGATAAATAAATGAAGAGAATGTGGTATAGATGTACAATGAAATATTATTCAGCCATAAAAGGGGGAAACCTGACATTTGCATGAAAATGGATAGACCTGGAGGACATTGTTAAGTGAAATAATTCAGACCCAGAAAGATAAATGCTGCATGTCCTCTCTCATATGTGAGAAATTAAAAGTCAGCCTGAATGTGGACTAGTGATCCCTAGAGGCTGGGAAGGTTGGGGGCACAGAGCATAAAGAGAGGATACAGAGTAGGGCCACCCGAGGTGGACAGGAGGAATGAGTTCTAGTATTCTGCAGCACAGTGGGATGACTGTCGCTCCCAAAACCTATTATATATTTTAAGAGGAAATAGAAGAGAGGAGTTCCAAGGCTCCAAGAAATGACAAGGAAGCCAGGCACAATGGTGCTCAAGCCTGTGATCCAAGCTCCCAGGCAGGCTGAGGCAGGATTGCGGGTTCAAGCCCAGTCTGGACAACTTAGGGAGCCCCTGAATTTAAAAACAAAACACTAAAAACTGGTAGGAGGTGGCTGGGGATGAAGCTCGGTGGTAGAAAGCTTACCTAACATGAGGAAGGCCCTGGGTTCTATCTCCACTACCATGAAAAATAAATAATAAAATAAAACAAAAAGGAGTTGGTGATGTAGCTCAGTGGTAGAGCAAAAAGAAATGATAAGGATTTGATAAGTACACATTGTATACATGTGTTGCAATATCATGCTGAACCCCAAAATGTATACCATTATTTCATGTTAATCAAAAATACAAAGAAAGAAAAAATTTAATTCCTTCCATGAGGCAAGTATACTATTGATTCTAAGAGCTGGTAAAGATTTTACCAATAAAGAAGGCTACAGTTGTATCTCATTTAATACTGATGTAAAAATCCTAAATGAGTTATCAGATGCCAAAAAATAATATACCATGATTGTGATTCAATGCAAAAATACTAGAATGGTTACTTATAAGACAATTGACTGTTATAATACATCCCATAAATAGATTCAGAAGAAAATCACCTAGATGCAGAAAAGATATTTGACCAAATTTCACATTGATTCATGTTTAAAGCATTTTATCTAATAGTCAATTTGCAATTAATAGACACTTCTTTTAATATGGTTTAACATACATACAAATTTCAAAAATTTTATTATCATTTTTTTCTTCTGGAGGTTAAAAAATTCATTATAAAGTTCATTTGGATGAAGAAAAATGAGTTATCCTGAACATCAGAAAAGAAAAGTATGTCTATCTGCCAGAAAATGATTCCAGTCTCCGTGACTGCAGCAGGAGGACGCTCGGGCAAGAAGAGTCACAGAGGAGAGAATTGTCCGACTGGTTTTCTTTTATATTGATCTGACCATACTCAGCTACATCTATATTCCATAAGGCAGCATCTCTTTTCAAGATAAACAATTTTATAAGCAACGCTGGGGTAACTATATAATCTTGCAGAAAATGATTAAATTGCATTCATCTTCTCACACCACGGGACTTCCAAATAGGTTGGAAATTTAAATGTAAAAACGTTAACTTGGGTTTTCTCAAAGTGCCTTTTGAGAGATTCAAGATGGCAGAGTAGAGAAAGCCGCATTCCTAGTTGCTCAGTGACTGGGTATTCAAGCAGCAGAGTGCAGCTTCTCAGTGAGGTGGGTGAAGGAGGGATTTCACTAAAATTTAATACTGGACAGTCAGAATGCCTTAGAGACTCAGAAATTCAGGTGCGTTGAACAAAGAAAAAGGTTCACTGGAGCCAGGCTGGTTGTGGCAGTGGCAGGGCAGCTGTGGTGGCACTGGGTCACCAGGGAGGGGAGGGAGAACAGAGAGAGAAACACAGGGATCAGAGTCGGCATGGGAACCCGAGATCAGAAAAGCAGCAGGCACTTAGCTGAACCAGAGGCTGCACCTCAAGCTGGTGTCTGAACACTGCCGAGTTGCTCAGCTGCTGTGGAGAGCCGAGGCTGGGCCGTCCTGAGGCGGCCATGCTGCAGCTGCTGCTGTGGGAACCCTGGAGATCAGAGCAAACAGCCCCACAGTGCCCCACAGTGCCCCACAGTGCCCCCCGTGGGACCCAGGGAGTACCTAGCAGAATGAGAGTGAAGCAGGGAGACAGAAGAGTTCATCCAACAACAGCAGAATACACTTTCTTCTCACTCTTCATCCCTCTGGGAATCTTCTCCAAGATATACCATATTTTAGACCACAAGGCAACGCTTAACAAATACAAAATAATTGTTATAATTCCTTGTATCTTATCAGATCAACAAAATTAGAAATTAACACCAAAAACTCTATGGGAAACTATATGAATACATGAAGACTGAACAATACACTTTGGGGTTTTGTTTGCTTGCTTGTTTTGCTTTTCATACTGTAGATTGATTGAACCCGGGGGCATGGCACCACTGAGCAACATCCCCACCCCTTTTTAGTTTTTATTTTAAGGCAGTATCTCATTAAGTTTCTTAGAGCCTCACTAATTTGCTGAGGCTGGTCTCAAATTTGCAGTCCCCCTGTCTCAACCTCCCAAATCACTGGGATTACAGGTGTGCACCAAAACATCTAGTTAGAATAATGCACTTTTGAATGATGAATGGATAATAGAACAAACTGGGAAAATCCAAAAATTCTTAGACTCAAATGAGAATAGTGACACAACATACTAGAACCTCTTGGTCATTCTAAAGGCAGTTCTTTTTTAAAAAAATGTTTATTTTTTAGATATAGGTGGACACAATATTTTTATTTTTTATTTTATTTTTATGTGGTGCTGACAATCAAACCTAGTGCCTCGTACATGCTAAAAGCTCTACCTCTGAAGTTCTAAAAGGAAATTTATAGCTATGAATGCCTACATAAGAAAAATCAGAAACATCCCAAATAAACAGCCTAATGATACATCTCAAGGTCCTCAAAAAAGAGAATGAAACAACTTCACAACCAGTAAAAAAAAAAAAAGGAAATAATTAAAATCATAGCCAAAATCTATGAAATTGAGTAAAAAATTACAAAGGATCAATGAAACAAAGAATTGGTTCTTTGAAAATATAAACAAGATTGATAAAAACCTTAGCTAAAAGAGCAGAAGGAAAAAGAGAGGTGACCCAAACTATTAAAATGAAAGACGTAAAAAAAGAAATCACCACAGACATCACAGAAATCCAGTGGGTCATTAGGGACTAAATTGAAAAAACTCCAAGAAATCAGAAAATCTAGAAGAAATGGATACATTTTAGTGCACATTCAATTTGCCAAGATTTAATTAAGAGGACATAAAAATGGAATAACTAGTAATGAGAAGCAGTAATAAAAAGTCTTCCAACAAAGAAAAGCCCCGGACCAGATAGATTCTCAGCTGAAGTCTACCAGACCATTAAAGAACTAATGTCAACACTCCTCAAATTATTGTGTGGAATAGAAAGGAATGGAACACACCTGAATTCAGTGTACGAAGCCACATTGACACTCATACCCAAACCAGACAAGAACACATCAAGGTAAGAATACTACAGACCAAAACTTAGACTCTGATGACCTTGAATGCAAAAATACTTAATAAAATATTAGCAAAAAATATTCAACAACATTTAAGAAGGTTTTGCATTCTGACCAACTTGGTTGTATCCCAGAGACACAAGAATGTTTTAACATATGCAAGTCAGTCAATGCAATTCATCAACTAAATAGAATTAAGAACAAAAAACTCAGTCACCTCAAATGCAGAGAAAACCTTTGACCAAATCCATCAACCATTCATGATAAAAACACTGAAGAAACTGGGATAGAGGTGACCTACCTCAACATCATAAGACAAAACCCAAAGTGGGAGAAAACTGAAAGTATTTCCTTTAAAATCCAGGGCAAGATAAGCATGTCTCCTCTTACCACCCCTATTTAATATAGTGCTAGAAATCAAGTCAGAACAATTAGGCAAAAGAAGGAAATAAAAGGAATAAAAATTGGAAAGGAAGAAGTCAAATTATCACTGTTTGCAAATAATATGATCCTTTAATGGGAAGATCCAAAAAATTCCCCAGAAGATGACTGGAGCTAAAAAACAAATCAGCAATGTAGCCGGTTACAAAAGCAACAATACAAATATCAATAAGCTCTCCTATTTGCCAACTATGAATCTGCTGAGAAAGAAATAAGGAAAACAATCCCATTCACAGTAGCCTTAGGGAAAAAATAAAACTAGGAATAAATCTAATCAAGGAGGTGAGAGAACTCTACAATGAAAACTATAGAATACTGAAGAAATTTAAGAAGACCCAAGAAGATGGAAAGACCTCCCACGTCCATTAATAGGCAAAACTAATGTTTTTAAATGTCTTCATTAAATGTTTTTAATGTTTTTATTACCAAAAGCAGTTTACAAATTCAATGCAGTCCTCACCAAAGTATCAACGACATTCTTTACAGAACTAGAAAAAAGAGTCCTGAACCTCATTTGAAAAAAATAAAAGACCCAGAATAGCCAAAGTAATTCTTGTTTGTTTGGTGCTGGGGATTGAACCCAGGGCCTTGGGCACCGGAGGCAAGCACTCTACCAACTAAGCTATCTCCCTAGCCCAAGCCAAGCTAATTCTAAGCCAAAAAAGCAATCTGGAGACATCACAATACCTTCCTTCAAATCATACTACAGTGTTACAATAACAAAAACTACATGGCACTGGCATAAAAACAGACACCTGGATCAATGGCCCAGAACTGATAATAACACAGAGACGAACGTAACACAGATAGGGTCATCTGATCTTGACAAAGGTGCCAAAAGCATACACTGGAGAAAAGACAGCCCTTTTAACAAATGGTGCTGGGAAAACCCATGATCCGTGTGCAGAAGAATGAAACTAGAGCCTTATCTCTCCCCCTGCAAAAAGATCAACTCAAAATGCATCAAATGCCCAGGAATTAGACCAGAACCCGTGCAACTCCAAGAAGAAAACACAGATCAACACTCCAAAATGTAGGCACAGGCAATGATTCTCATAGGACCCCTGAAGCTCAGGAGAGAATGCTAAGCGTTAGTAAATGGAAAGGAATCAAATGAAAACCTTCTGCACAGCAAGTAAACAAACAAAAAACGGTTAAGAATGTGAAGAGAGACGCTACAGAATGGGAGAAAATCTTTGCTAGCTACTCTTTTGACAGAGGATTAATAGCTAGAATATATACAGAGCTCAAAAAACTTTACCCCCAAAAGTCAAGTAACTCAATTAATAAATGGGCAGATGAACTAAACAGACACTTCTCAAAAGAAGAAACACAAATGGTCAACAAATACATAAGAAAGTGTTCAACATCAACAGCAATTACGGAAATGCAAATCAAAACCACCCTGAGATTTCATTTCACTCCAATCAGAATGGCAGTCATCAGAATACAAACAATAATAATTGCTCAAAAGGATGTGAAGAAAAAGGAAGACTCTAACACTGCTGGAGACTGTAAATTATCACAAACACTATGGAATTAGGATGGAGGCTCCTCAAAACATCAGGTATGGAACCACCACATGGCCCAGCTAGGCCACTTCTGGGTATTTACCCTGAAGCATTAAACTCATCTCACCACAGTGATATCATGATATCCATGTTTATGGCAGCACGATTCACAATAGCTGCATTACGGAACCAGCCTAGGTGTCCATCAATGCATGAATGGGTAAGGAAACTGTGGTCTATATGCACGATGGAATTTTATTCAGCCATAAAGAAAAATGAAATTATGTTATTTACAGGAAAATGGATGGAACTAGAGAGCATTATGTTAAGTAAGCCAAACTCAGAAGGTCAGTGGCTGTATGTTTTCTCTCATATGTGAAAGCTAGAGGGGAAAAAAAGGAAAGAAGGAGTTGGAGGGGAGGGGTGCAGGGGACCTCATGAAAACACAAAAGACCCAGCAACTTAATGAGATCGTTTCTCAAGTTAAAAAAAAAAAAATGTTAAAGGCTAGCACAGAGTGGCTCAGAGGTAGAAAATCAAGAGGAAATCCGTTGAGGAAAGGGACCAAGGAGTAGGTGGGAGGGAGTGGGGGAGTGCTGGGAAAGGATACTGACGGAATTACATTGTTACATTGTGCACATATTCTCACATATAAGAGCATATCATCATGCGTAAGAACTATAAGGCACCAACTGAAAAAATGTGGAGAAGAAAGTTAACTCAGATTCTTTGCAACCTGGGGATGATGAAAATGTTTGTAATGTAAGACTTAAAATTGTATAAGGAAACACTGATAAATTGATTACATAAAAATAAAAAAAATAATAATGTAAGACCAAAAAAAGCAAATTAAAATACAAATGTAAAACTACAAAAAAAATCCTCCTAAATTATATCAAAGAGATTTAATTTTACTAATACACAAAGAATATCTAAAAGCAGAGAAAGAAAACATCAACAACTTGATTTTTAAAAAATGGACAAGAAATGTGTAGGGTGGCATACAACTGTAATTCCAGCTACTGGAGAGGCTGAGGCAGGAGTATCACAAGTTAGAGGCCAGCCTCAGCAACTTAATGAGATCCTTTCTCAAAATTAAACAAAATAAAAAATTTAAAGGCTAGGGCAGAGTGACTCAGAGGTAGGGTACTTGCCTAGATCGTATGAGGCTGTGGGTTCACTCCGTAGTATAAAAGAAAGAAAAAAGCAAACAAGAAAGGAAGGAAGGAGAGAGGAAATAAAAATAAAAATTGAGCAAGCGATATAAGTAAATTTTAAAAGATTCCAAATGCATAGAAAATGCATAAATAGAGCAAAGCGACTCTCCTCGGTCCTGCTATTTCTTCAGAACAGCTAATTCTCCGTCCACAGCAGCCCTCCCCCACCCGCAGGTCACACTGCTAGGACACAGCTTCCATCTGTTGAGTCCTGGGAAAGAGTCTGGATCCCAGCTTCCCTCTGACCTGAGTGACCTGCGGAACCCACAGAGGGTCACCAAACTTGCTGGGATCCTGGTTCTTTTTCAGTAAAAGGAAGGATTTCAACAGACAGTGTCTAAATGGATTTCCAGCCCCCAAATTCTACCTTGAGCGCACGGAACCTCCTAGGGAGAAAAGCAGGCAGCGCTGTCTGGAGCGAAACCCCACTGCCCGGAGCCTGCCCTGCCCAGCAAAAGTTCGCCCTGTGAATATCTGGATGGAGGACACCACGCTAATAAATCTCCTTGCGCTCCCCCGACCCGCGGCCAGCCA